GACTGATGAGACCGTCGTCCTCCTCGCTGTAGTTGGGGTGATGGGAGTGCGTGAAGCTCTGGCAGTAGCCGCCCTTGCCATCGAAGCCCGAGTCCTCGTCTTCCAGCGGCGGCTGGTAATAGGTGTCCATGCAGTCTGCCTTTTCCACTTCTGTGGGTGGGTAGGGAAACACACACAGACCCGGCTGGTAAGACTTTTGAACGACTGATGTGCGCAACCTACTGAGTAGGATACATTGGCCAATAAAACTCGGTTCACAAGCGTGTGTAGGAGCACACATGTAACAGGACAGTACGGCTGGTAATTCATGCAATACTCCAAAATTTGCCAAAAATCAAAAATCGCTCGCAAACCGAGATTAAGGAGGGGTTCTAATAGTGATTATCGTGCAGACCCATCTAAACTCATCTCAGTCATGTCAGGATGTCGCCTTTTTAACCAGTTGTTTTCTGACCGCTTACAAGACGTATATTCAGTTTAAAATGGCTACTTTAGTAGTATTTTTTAAAGTCATTGATTTATAAATTCAAATATATGTTATGGTAAGCATGAAGAATTATCATACTTTGTCGTCAATTGCATCCTGAAACCCTTACCACTTGTGGTTTTAGGGCGGAAATAAGAAGTACAATAACCTGAAAGCACGCACTGTTGTGCGTTTTTTAATTGATTTTAACTAATTTCCTTGAATTATTGGTTTCCAGCTCAGTCTTGATTACGAATTCCCGGTTATTCAATGGGTTTTCTTGACTTTTTTGGTTTTTGGGCGTTTTTATGAATTTTTGCCTTTTAGCACTGTTGACATGTACTGCTTGTATGTAACATGTTAGGGAATTTGGCGACAGTCTGGTTTCGGGCTCACTCCGTCTACTTTGCATAATTGCCTACTTATTTCTTACTAGTAAGCCTTTTTTCTCCCCACAAAGGTATACGGCACAGCCCATTCACATTGCACTTTAAGTTTAAGCTTTAAGTTGCGGCTGTGCTTGTTGGCTTAAATCAACACGCATGGCCAAACAGCGACCGGAAAAAAATCGATCAGCCCAAAGCCAACACGCAGAGCCGCAACTTTAAATTTGCTAATCGACAAAGTTAGTTTTCGCTTCGACAAAGGACAGCCAGCTCAGCTGTCCGAAACGTCAGCAAATCTACATAATTTATTCTGGTTAGCAGAAGATGAATTCTTATTCTTATCCGAAGATTCTGACTTTGTAAAATTTGAATGTAACCCCTTTTACCAACGTTCCCGCATTACCGAATGCTGGGTGCTTCATTTCCTATTGTAAGCCCGAACCGAGACTATTACCGGGGAATTCTATAGACAGCAGAAGACAAGTATTACCATCGGTATGCTGATGAGAGCAGACTTGCGTGGCACAGTAATAATTGTTGTTTATGCCGCAGACGCAGGGCTGGGGCAGAGGACGACTCTGCTGGTCGGTTGAAGCAGCATTGTAGTGTGCGAAACCGGTCGGCGGCCCCGGCG